GATTCTACTCTACAAAAATATACACAAACAACTTAATATACAAACCAGTTCTTTTAATCTAGTTTCATGTCCATTACCTTTACATTTTCACACAAACATAGTAACAGATATTTCATTGATTTTAGAAACAAAAGAATGTGATGTGTGTACTGCTTAGTTTTATGCTATTTTCCTTGGTTTTATTTAATTAGTGGTGTGACAAAACACAAATAATAAATATATCAAATTAATAAAGTAAATGTGAACTGAAAGCTATGTTAAGATAAAATTAGAGTTTTTTGTATTACCATTTCATAATTAAATATAGTTACACTTACACATATAAAACAGATTTTAGAACACAAAAATCTATGTACAATTTAGTTATTGATGGCATTCTTTAGTTTAATTTAAGCATGCTAGGAAAACACAATAACTAAATTTACCTAATATACAAAAAAACAATGTAATGTGGAAGTTATGTTAAGTTAATCTAACACATGTTAAGCAGTTCGAATTTATTTAAAGTAGCCTCCTAATACATACAAAACATCTATATATTGTAATTTTCTTAATGTTTCCATGAAAATATATCAATAACATTATTTGCATATCACTTAAGACACTATAAAAATCGAAAGCAGAGCCTGAGCTGATACAGCAACGCTTTTAGAATATTTTTTTTATTTCTATAATCATTGACATAGTTTTTGAATAAATGATCTTTGGTAAATTTTTAGATTAAATAAACCAACCACATAATTGTGTGAAATATTATATTTAATTTCACTGGATCAGCTGTCTTAAATTGGAAATATGCAATTTGGCAGTTCTTCTTGTTAACATTGAAATGTCAAAGCAAATGTAAACATTGTGAGTACCTACTCCCATTGCAGCCATGGAGACCAATCAATATTTACTTTTAAAATCCTCACCTCATAACTTTTAAAGCCAAAGGGGCAAAGCCCACGGTCAGTATTAAAGTGTGAATAGTTCTATAATGGTCCTTGGTATGGTAGCTATATTTTTGTAAAGTTTAAGCCTTGTTGTTTCAGTAGTTTTTGCGCCTATTAGTAATACACATACAGACAGACACCATTAGATTTTTTATAATAGTATAGATTTGTATTTTTTCAGGGTTAAAAATGAGAAAACCTCATTTTTATTCCATAAACCCCGTTCCCATAGTCCGATCATGCTGGTTTGCAAGATGATGTCATCAAAATCGGACCAAAATTAATCAAGTTATCGTGTTTACGGACACACACATATACAAGTTTGAACGAATAGTGTTTTTGGCCTCTGGGGACATCTAAATGGTAAAGTAATCGTGTATGGTCCCGGGTCTTGGTCTTACCGTGCACCTATGGTAATTAGCTACTTAACTATAGGGATATTTGCAAAAACTAATGAGGTATTTGTGTACAATCACATTTGTTATATTTATAAAAAATCCAAAAATAGTAGTGCATATATAGTTGTATTAAAAAATAACATCTAAGAACTAAAAATGGAACTATATTAATTACATAGATTGGGAAAAATACAAATGCAATCATTTTTGGCGTAGACTGAAAAATGTGCGGGATTTCAGGAGTATTGGGTTTAAAAAATGCAACGTAACATTTAACTTAGCATAATGTACCACTCAAAACATCTTTCATAGAAATGTGTCAAACATGAATTAATAAATAAGAAATGATTTAAATATTACAAAGTCTTGGGAGGCTATACAATCTTCGTCCCCGCAGTGCTACCTTATACATTTTGTTACAGCACATTTGGGAGTAGCATCTCAAAAACTCATTCCGCGCTGACACAAACTGCAAATGCATTCAAACGATGACGATTTTCTGTTTTATAACGTTAACAAAAAATCGTTAGATTTCATGACTCGTGTATCTACGAAAACTATGTTTGTGTTAATGAAAAATTTTTAATAACAGAGTATATTTAAAACGTGTTGTAATTTCACATTAATCTACCCCAACAAATCCGATATTAGGTCTATATTAGACAAGTTATATTTTTGTAGCACTAAAGTAATGTATTATGCTAATTTTCAAATTATACTATAAAATATCTAACAAAAAGCTAGCTAAACATATTTACATTTTGTACGTGGTTTCTTCATTTTCATTGCGTCAAAGCTTAATAAATAATACATGCAACTCAAGGCACTGACACGACACGAAAACATTAAGGAACGTGCACGGCTAAACACACTACCCTCATATGACTCACTAGACTCATATGACATTCAATGTTATTAACTTTTAAAAATTGCCGTGCCGCCCGCCCGTCCGTGCCGTGCTGCCGTAGGGCGCGCGCAGCATAGCTCTGTTTATAGTGCATGATGCCTACGCACCCGACGATGGAGTTATCTCCAAAACGGCCTAGTGCTAAATTAACAGGACTGCGAAGACTGTAAGTAGCCTTTATATAAAAAAATAGTGTTTAATTAGGGCTAGTGTATGATAGTAAAGATAAGAAAAAATAGTGTTCAACAGTGCTGAACAATGAATAAACTGTACTGATTTGTGGACGTGGCCAGCTTCACGTTTTTCCCCACCCACAACATTGAGAAAAAAAATATCTTCAATTACCAGAAAAATTAGTGTTAAATTATTACTGTCGAATGATCTTACTAATATTATAAATCTGAAAGTTTGTGAGTTTGTGTGTATGTTTGTGTGTGTGTTTGTGTGTGTGTTTGTGTGTGTGTGTGTTGCTCAATCACGCATAAACTACTGGACGGATTGGGATACAAATTGGCATGATGATAGCTCACATTCCCGATTAACATTAAAGCATATTCTTATCTCAAAAATCCTTTCGGGCTCTATCTATATATATATAAACCTCAAATACTACTGACTCATCCATTTATTCACTCACTCATCACGAAATCTCAGAAACCATAAGACCTAGCAACCTGAAACTTGGCAGGCATCTTCTTTTTGGGAAGTAGACGCTCACCAAGAAAGGATTTTACCCTCCGACCTCTGGGCTCCACCCCAGTGGCTCTGGAGTTTCCCATGTTAACCTTATGAGTACTCATATTTAAATGGAATTAATGAATCTTAACAGCTGTTTCAATTAAACAAGTTGGTTCTGTTTTATGAAGTTCAATAGCATTAAAGTTACAAGGATTACCAACAGGGTACAGCACTATTATTTCTTTTACATTTATGACAACAGCTAATTTGCAACCAAAAGGTGAGTGAGCGTAGCGAACGAGCTAACCCATAGCCGTCTCTAGTAATATTATATAGTAATATATTACTAGTAATATATTACTAGTAATATATTACTAGAGACGGCTATGGCCAACCTGAAGGCAAGTGAGCGCAGCGAACGAGCTCTAACCTAAAAGTGGGTGAGCGTAGCGAACGAACGTCAGGACGACATTGAGCCACGCGAACGAGATCATTTTGAAAATTAAGAAGTTAAACGGGGCAAAGCCCGTGGGTTACAGCTAGTCTATATAATAAAGCCAAAAGTACCCATGAACTTTTGAGAAAACTACAAGTCACACCCCCATAAACCATATACTTAAAATGTTCGTCATGACGAGAAACCTTGCGCAAAACTTTCCATTATGTCATAAATTGCCCTTTAAGGTCGTAATTCCTTTCTAAAGGGAAGTTTTCATACACCTAATGTTAAAAATACCTCAGCTGTACTTATTTGTTTGTTATTCTTTCAGTTTATTACCTTATTAAAATCAGGGGTGATTATTTGTTTATTTTACTGTATTTTGTTTATTTCAGGTTAACTTAACCAATCAATAGTTTTAATTAATACTTAATATGATGTCAAACGGGGTGAAGCCCGTGGGTAACAGCTGGTAAATATTAAATTTAATGCTCATCTCATGAGACTGAAACATGGGTCTCTTTTTTGGTCAATAGGTCAACCTGCACCAACCACACAAAATATTACCTTCAAAGTGGTGTAAAAAATTAGTGCTGTAAAACGGAAAAAATGTAAAAAATTTATAAATAAAAATACTTTTTAAGAATACCACGTTTTTAAACGCACTAAAAAGTAGACAATAATTTATAAATATTTTAAGAGTATAAATACTTGTAAGATTTAAAACAAAAAATGTGGAGCGCAAAGCCTGGAATTACATAGCTCACGAGCCTTCAAACAACACAGTACTTTGTTATTCATTGTTACCCTTGGTTGGAATATATTATTGATAAAATAAAAAGGATTACCTTATCCAACCACAGTTGCTGGTATGACAACTAGTTTCGTTCTTTAGAACTTCGTCTGGTCATTGTATGCAACCACATTATCAATGTATTAATACATCGTGGTATGTCAGAAGATTCTTTAAAATACTGTCAAAATCACAATAGGTAGTCAAAACTTGTCATGTTGATCAAATGATTAAAATAGAATAAAAATTTATAAAACTGGTTAAAACTGTAAATGCTGGAAAGCACTGTCTTATCACTGTCATTGACTAAATAAAACTGACTGAATCATGGGGTGTTTTCTTCTCTCCAGTGCCACCTGCATTTCAGTTTGTTTTGGTCTTCTTATTATTTTATACTTATTTGATTTGTAGCTTTTCAATATATGTATCAAATATGATATTTGACTGGAAAGAGGTCTGATAATTTAAAATGTTAAATGGGTCGAGTTTTTTTAGCTTTGTAGAGGGTGAATTCTTCTTTAACATCAAGCTTAATAAATATTTATGGTCTTACTTGTAGTATAGGTCCTAACAACAAACTAAAAACCTAGATCTACATGACCTTTTGCACACACGGATGTTTTATTTGACTGGAGTAAATCTACAGTTGTGGTGAATGCTTTTTATTCTACAAACTCAGTATGGCGTTTGGTATTAGTCCAAGACGAACAATAATCTTTAAATGTTTCAGAAAACTTAAGATTAGTCATACTCGTAAATGAGATGCAAACTTACTAAGTCTTTATCAAAAGGTCAAATGTGATACAATGCTATCAGGGGAACAAAGTAGTATCAAAGTCAAACGCAAACACTTCTCAGTTGATGAGGTATAGAGGAACACGATGGATTTGAGAATTGTGTGGTTGTGTCTCTTGATCTCATTTGTAGAAAAGTCGAGGACTCAGCCTGTAAAAGACACCACTACAGGTAAGTACTGTATTTAAGTTATTTTACGAAAGTCAACGTAATACATACAGTGCTACCTTAGTCAAACATGAGCCACCGACAGTGGATGCTGGTTTAAGTTATTATATCTGTCGAATACATACACGTTTTAGCCAAGCCCAACTGTACGGACAATGTTTCTTAACTAGGGTATATTTTGTGTCACATCAGCTATCTCAGTAACTGAAACCAAGGGAGGAAATATGGTTTTGTTACCTCTATGTTTCAACTATCCATAAAAGTAGCTAATATAAACAAATAATATTAGTCTTGTAATTTGTAAAAAAAATTACTAATTTACAGGTTTCAAGTTTTAAATTACAAAATATTAGTAAATTTTCATATGTTTACAAGTCTTTTGTTTCATAATCTTTAGTAATATTATTATTTAAGGGAAAAATATTATTAATATAATTATAAAGATTTTTACTAGTAGTAGGCTTAGTGATTAAAATTAGAGGCATACAGATAATTGAAGGTTATGGGTTTTTTTAAGCAAATAGATTGTGTTAAAAATTATGTTTAAAACATAACCCAGTATTTTAGTTATTTAAAACTGTTGACGATAACGACAACTGGATTAACCATTTAATATTATTCGCTCTGTAAAAGCTGTTGTGACTGACAGCAAGATCCAACTCTAGCTAATTGTTCCTGAACTCTAGTTAATTATTGTGTATTTGGATGATATTAAATCATTGGATTTGAATCTTTTCCCTCTGAAATTAACTTTTCTCCAATTTGACATATAATTCAGTAACCTCATGCATTTTAACCTGCATGAATTGGGTTGGAAGGTTTCTTTTTTAGTGTTCTATGTGATAGTACCGGGATGCAAAGTCCAAATTTTCGACTTCGGCAACCATCCAAATTACTGCCAAAAAGTAAAAAAACTGGTGGAATTTTGCACTTTTTAATGTTTGTCTGGTATTAACCCTGAAGCATCACTTTTAAATGGAAAACAACATCTATAATTTTAAAGTTAAATTAAATTACCTCTAATTTAAGACCATAATGGTTATTCCAGGCCTAATAGTTTTCAAGATATGGCTCAGCAAAAAATTGTTAAAATTGCCAAATTTTTATGTCTCTTAAGTATGCCTAACCTTAACCTTGAAGCATTACTTTCTTATTATTTCTCATTACAACAACCACACTTATTTTAAAGCTGCATCAATTTACCTACAATTTAAGCCCAAAATGGTGAATATAGACCAAACAGTTTGAGAGATATGGCTCATAAAAGTTTGAGAAAATTCTTCTATCAATTCTAGTATTCCCAGTTTCAAGCTTTTCAATTTAGTCAAATTTTATACAAGAACCATGATAAGAATATGAGCAAATATATTTCGAAGCGAGGTTTTATTAAAAAATTAAATTGTTAAAATGTAAAGAAATCTATTGCAATTAAAATGTTCATACTATCAAGAGTAATTGCTGGAAAGAATGAAAAGGAAACAGTGAAAACAGGTTTTAACTTTGCTTAAACTTCTTGGAAGGATTATGTTGAAGATACTCTTAAGCTTTCGTGACCATATTCTGCCGCATTCTATCAGGCAGATAAATTTTCTTATCTAGAGGGGTGACGTTTACAAGGATGCCATCTAATTTTGAAGTATTTACTCGGTTTTTGGTAAATAAACATGCAAGTTGATACTAGCCCCTAGTACAAACTACATCTTGCAGGTGAATGAAATGCTAATTCGCACTACGCCTAGTACATACTTCGTTATTTAGGGAACGTAGTATCTACTAGGCTTTTTCGGTGAATAAAAACCGGCCCGCATAGTAGTTACTTAGTATGCTCATGGGCATTCTTCGGTTTTGTCGTTTGCAAAGATGGCGATGCTTATACAAGTCCATAACAGGAAAAGGTACCTTAAAAGAAGAAATATTGGTAACTCTAAGCAAATACTGTGATTTGTGAATGACATTGTTGATTTGTTCACAAACAAGTTTTTTTTCCTTCTCATTTCCTCCTATCAGATCACAATTCCTTCTCTAAGCTTAGTCGGTTTATTTCTCTGAACATTCCTTTCCGTTTTTAGTGAATTTCCCTACCTTTATACATTTTTCTCTAGACCATTTGAAAGAGCTTAAAAAACAAATAATTTAGTATATCAAAGTGTTTTTGTACGGTTATTGGTTACGGAGAAAATTCCAAAAATGTTCATTTAAAATTCCGATGTTATTCTTATAGAGAATATTGACTGGGGTTTTCAAATAAATGCCAATTTTTGTGAAGGTTCGGCCTTGCGCCACAATTTCACCAAATCAAATTGTGCAATGCACCACAATGAATACACCCCATCGTTCATTGGTCCTACGCTGTGTAATGCAATCTCATTTAAAAGTGGTAATCTATACATAGGAATAAATTCATGTTCATCCGATGCTCATTTATTCTTCTTCCCTTAATAACGTGCCAAATTTGGCGCCTGTTGTTCTCATTTCGAGGAACAATACCTCTGAGTGGTAGTCTTCCGACATTTTACGTTATTACTGTGCAAATAAGAACAATCCATTGTAAAGTATTACGTTTAAAAGTATCAAATTGTTTGTTCAAAAGATTTTATCAAATTTTCACTTTGTGTGTTGTTTACTACTTCACTAACAATTTTACAATAACAAAATAATGCACATTCAGGTGTGGGAAAAAATTTTCAATTTATATAATCACAGCTGTTTACAGTAAATAAACAGACATAAAATTATATTCCCAAGCTATTTAAATGTGAATTATTTTATTCCGTAGCGACCTTTTGGTACATAATTAAGAAAAATGAATAATTTTCCTCAACATTTCATGCCCAGACCTCTCCCAGCTTTCTACGGCCTCCCGTTCGCTCACAATTTCGTTGTTAAATTTTGGGCTTACGGAATTAAATATATAGATTTTTTTTTGTTTTCTATACTCAAACCATTACAAATGTTTTTCATAATTCTTAAATGTTTCTATATGAACTTAGGTTAATGTAAGACGGCCAACTCAACCAGTATGTTAATAAATGTTGATTTATCATATGCATGCGTAAATACATATTTATACGATATTATTATGTTAAGGATACATCCAATAAATGTAACATATTCAATACAAATCGTAAATAAATACATCTAATGCGGATCTTACTGTTAAAGATAAAACTTTGCCTAATCTTGTTGAATTACCTTTTTTGCCTTTGATAAAAAAATGCACAAGCCGTCATACATTTCTATGTCAGAGCATAAGCTAATTAGTTTAAATAAAGAAAATATTTACCAATGCTTATGGTGGTAGTATGTAGTTTATGTATGGATTGAATTTCTATCCTAGTAGCATGAAACCATTGGTAAAATGATCGTTCAATTGTCTTTAACGCAGACGAGACATGTCGCATGGACGAGTTCACGTGTAGCAATGGCAACTGTGTGCCGCAGAGATGGTTGTGCGATCACGAGGATGATTGTGGTGATGACTCGGACGAGCTGAACTGCAAGACTTGCTCGCCAGACACGGATTTCGCCTGTGTTCTCGGCGGCAACAAAACCTATTGCATCAACGCGAGGTGGCGCTGCGACGGGGATAACGACTGCCCAGACGGGTCGGATGAAAAGGTAAGGAATCTGAATTTAAGGTAAAGAGAAAATGCAGTTTGTAAAAAAAATAGGAAAACGGAGAGAGAAATACCCAGCCGCAGCAAACCTGCAGACTAAGCGAATTTACACTAAAATGTCTCATTAAAAATAGCACGTTTATTCCCTAAATAACATTAGTTTAAAGAGTATTCTACGTTTGCTGCAACAGGGAGGGTAAAAAAGTGTTTTTTTTTTCTAACTAATAGTTTAGTATGAAATACAGTAAATACATTTTCCAAATGTGGTCAAAATATGCTCATAAACAAGCAAACAACTTATTCTCCATAAGAATAACATAGGCATTTTAAATTAAAAATTTTTTGGAATTTTCCCCGTAACCATTAGGTGCATAATAACGCTTCAGTATACTATATTTTTTAAGATCTACAAAATAGTTTCAAAAAAAATTGTTAAATTTGATGTTTTTAGGGTCAAAAAAAGAAAACCAAATTTTCACCCCATAAACCCCCGTTCCCATGGTCCGATCATGCTGGTTCGCGAACTCGTTCGAATAAATGTAGGTTTACACGTTTGTACCAAATTTCATCGAAATCGGATCATTTTTGCTCGATAACGGGCACACACATATGTATATACATACTGTATATACTAATTTGAACGATTGGTGTTTTTGGCCTCTAGGGACCTCAAAACGAGAAAAGTAAATCGGTTCCGGTTCCACGTCTTACCATGAGTACTACGGTAATAGCTTATTCCCTAAAAAGGACAGGCGAAAAGAAAGAGTTAACTAAAAGGTTGTCACTTTATATCCCAGAAATATAAAGTACAGAGGAAACAAGCTTATGGCACAACCATGTGAGTTTAACTCTAATATGTTGAGGTGGAAAAACATTGGAAAATTACATACTTGTGACGAGCAAGGAAGAGCCCGAATGCCAAAAAATGTAATGAAAATCCTATAGCACAGGGCATGATAACGATCGGTCCTTGGTTAACGGACTTGGTCCTAGAGTACTTTGGAATGTATCCTCTGTTCTTTACTTCTTGTGTTTATATGATAACATATTTAAAAGAATAAGTAAATAAGTAGTTTTCTGAAACAGAAAAGTAACTCTCCTCCAAAATAGCATGAGTCCATATAATATTGATATGCATCAGCTGCATCATAATATGACAATTACTGCAGATTGCTTTATTTGACGGAATTCCCGGTGAAAAAGGGTATGAACTTTTACACTGTTCGCATATGCGTGAGTATAAAGAATCATAAAACATTATTGAGGAATATCAAATGGTCAAGATCCTTGCGCAAAATGAAAATCTAGAGACACTATAGGAAAGAAGAAGGGACAAAAAAGTGTAACGCCTGAAAATAACTTAAGACACTCTGAAAAGAAGTAAAAATACAACGAAAAATTGAATATTTTGTGGAAACGGTCACTAAACTAAATCTAGGATAAAAAAACTATATCCGAAAATACAGTGAATGGTATTTTAAAATATATCAAACTAAAAGATATATTGACATTTATGTCATGAAGTGTCATAAACTATATTTCTAGGTAAAGTATCGGACCACATCGACTATTATTGCCAAGATCATTCACTGTAAAATAACACTTTTTTGGTTTTTCAAAAGCCTACATCATTTTTAGCGAATTCCCCTTATAGGGACTGATTTACTTTTTCGTTTTGAGGTCCCCAGAGGCCAAAAAGACCATCCGTCAAAATCCATATATATATATATATATATATACAGGGTGGCTGAAAAGTAACTTGCACCCCCCCCCCTTAAATTTTGAACCTCATGAGATGTTTATAAACGGTTTGCGGCAACCTGTAAAATGAGACCAAACTCGACCATACTTCCTATTTGCTACACCCAACCCCCACTACCCCTATGGGAATTTTTTAAATTAACCATCATTATTGTAGCCCCTCATATCTGAACTAATTGCGACAAACCGATTTTAAATATCTCAAATAGTTAACAAGCTTAAGGGGGTGCGAGTTAATTTTCAGCCACCCTCATGGTTATTTGGATTTGAAACGTTTTAGGGCACCATTTTGTTATTAGTAAGCCGATTTTAGATTTGTATGTTAATTGTTTTGTTTAGTCAAGTTCTGTAAAATGATACCAAACACGACTATACTTGCCATTTGAAAATTTTGAGTTACAACCTACAACCGCTACCCTTAAGGGCAAAACTTTTTTTCAAAATTGACCATAATTATTGTAGCCCGTTATATATAAGAAGATTGCCGCTAACAGATTTCAAATATCTCAAATGGTTGAAAAGTTAAGGGGGTTGCAAGTTACTTATCAGCCACCCGGTATATACAGTATGTGTGTGTCCGTCAACGTGATAACTCGAGCAAAAATGATCAGATTTTGATTAAATTTGGTACAAACGTGTAAAACTATGTTTATTCGAACGAGTTCATGATACAGCATAATCGGACTATGGGAACGGGGGTTTTTTTGGGTTGGAATTGATTTTTCCCCATTTTCCCCCTTAAAAACACAAAATTTCATAATTTCTCTCCAAACCATTTTGTAGAAGGTTAAAAAGAAATAGTTTTGTATATCAAAGCGTTGTTGTATGCCTAACTGTTACGGAGATAGTTAAAAAAGTTCTAAATTTAAAATTACCATGTTATTTTTATGGAAAATAAATAAACTGTTGTAGTTTACTTGATTATGGGTATTGTTTTCCAAATTTGGAAATTTTGATTATTTTATTCTAAGCTATCAACATTGCAATAAAAACACATCTCAATACCTTCCCTGTAGAAACAAACCTAAGTACTCACTAAAATTAATGTTATTTAGATAGGAAATAAATGTGACAATTTTAAGGAAATAGTTTAGTTGAAATCCAGCCAGGTAAATGGAAATTCGCTTAGTCTGCAGGTTTGCTGTTGCGGGGAAATAATTGGTATTTAGCTCGTATTTTAAAAACCTAGGATCACCAGCGGCCCTTTTTGAACGGGTTTTTTGAATGTCGTTAAAACTATATTTATAGACCTTAAAATTAGTTTGTCGCGTTACCTCCTAAGGCCGGGGCCACACGTGGCGGATCGTCCGCGCGGCTTATGATCGTACGATCATAAGCCGCGCGACGATGTCCCGGCCACACGGAGCGGATGAACCGCTTCCGGTTGAGGTTTCCCAGCCTACGTACTGAGATTCTAACATGGTTTAATTCACTCGTTCTCGTTGTATAGATATACCAAGAACAAAACAACCTGCGCAGAAACGAAAAGATCACGTGGTTCGCGCAGGTAGGTGTGGCATACCATTCAATCCTGCGTGGCTCGAAACGGCCCAGGGTTCTTTTGTTTCTGGTATTACTATAGTCATGGAAGAAACACGTATGTTAGTTTGTGCATTAGAAGCATGTGGTGAGCTAGAGCCTAAGGCAAACCAAAATCATTGGGTCCATCATTTCATAACCGATAAACCATTTGTGTTCCAAACCTTTTAAAAGCACATGCGAAACCATTGTTCGGAGTCTTTTTTGTTACTATCGCATGTAGATAGCATCGTTTGACGAGCTACTTCAATTGCTTTGAGCGCATATAACTAAGGAAGATATACTCATGAGAAATGTACAACATGAGAAATCCCACATTATCTTTAACAAGTTCTATTGATTTGTCTGTATCGAACATTTTACACCTATAAACGAAATGCACAAGCACAAACTAAAAAACCCCACTACAAATGCTTGAAAATGAGCTCCAACCGCGCGGACAATCCGTATCGTGTGGCCACTCTCATAAGACTACATGTGTCATCCCCTCCAACGCGGCTTATGATCGCGCGGACAATCCGCGACATGGCGCGGACAATCCGCCCAGGCGGCTTAGGATCGCCCCGTGTGGCCACTCTCATTTGATTCAATGTGTTGTCGCACCACGCGGAAAAAGGTTATGTCGTGTATTGTACATAACCCATGTAAATTTTATTGACAATATATTTTAAGCTATTTACATTAGTAAGAAGAGTATAAACTGTTTGTAAACATGCGAATTTTTTTCCAGAACTGTACAGACAATCCACAAAAGACAACAGCTGTGACAGGCAGACAAGCGTGTCTATCTCGCGAGTTCCAGTGTCATCATAACAAGATGTGCATCCCTGTACATCAACGTTGCAACGGAGTGCTAGAGTGTACTGACGGCAGTGATGAGATGGACTGTAGTAGGTTGATTGTTGTAGTATGTACTTGGTAAACCACTTATCCGTGCAAACTTTGAAAAAATAAATTAAGGACAAACTATTGTCTTAATACAAAATGTATTGTCTTTTATACGAGATCAAATTTTCTAGTATGACGGCTGATTTGTCATAGAGTTCCTTGTTACTCATGATATTATAATATAAACCGAATATCACGACATCCAAAAAGTTACGTTTTCCCCAAGCCAACTCGTTCTGAAGCAACAGTGGGTTCAACCTTGGAAAGCTGGCTCGCCATGTTGTTTTGCGTGGTTAACAGGCAACGAAATCGAATGGTCTGGTCTTATAGTGATATTTATTAATTTGGTATTTTAAAACTAAGTTTGAGTAAATAGCCTAATAATCGTAGAGTTAATGACTACACTGATTACACTAATATTATTAATTGGCAGTTTGTAACTTCTTACTTATATTTTTTACTAATAATATTAGTACCTTTATGAAACAGGCCCCTGACTGTTACTGGCCCAAAAGAAAACATTATTTAACATTGATTGCTTAAATGGAACTCTCTCGACCATATTATACAGTAGCCTATTGTATGTTAATGTTATTAGTATAGAATTCTGGCCAGTTACGTCATTTGTTTATGTTTATGATCCATACCGGGTTCTGTTCTAATTTGTGTAAATTAACCATTTAAATCGTCTTTAGTACTTCATTTCATATCGTATGCCGTCATTTTAACACCATTTCGGGTCATGTTCGGATTAATCAAGTTATTACAGGGGGCATTATCACTGCACGATAAGTAAATACGATATGATAACATTGTATGACACTAACAAAGATTTTAATACTAATTGTATATGTACTTTGCTTTGGTTAAAGCGTAGCTAATGTCATAATTGAATCCAGTATTTGTGTGTGTATGTCTGTTGGTAACGCATTAATGTCCTTATTTCTCAGTGTTTCGCGGGAAAGACAAGAGCTCCTTTGTTAATGAAAATTTAAACCGTATTAAAGCGTGCAATGTTGAGATTGAGGTAGTATTTTAACTACTTTTAACCAGTGTGGAAAGTACTTTTCAATTATAGGCCTTACCTTAGTGCCATGTCTCATACATAAAGCTTAAACCGTATTGATTTTGTACATTACCCATTATCTATATCTCAGATATAGTTATTTGTGTAACTAGTGAGCAAAGTGGCACTTTGCTGCACACGAGATAAATGTTTACGCACAAACCGCAGGCGAGTGCGGAATGTTTTTCAAATGCAGCAAAGGCCATTTGCGCTCGTGTTACACATTATATTTTTCCTACAGTTACTATAAAGCATATAAATAATTAGTCTAAACAAACCCTATACAACTCGTTTTTAGGTTAGGTTAAACCCAAGCGTTGAACGGAATGAGAAACACTGCACCAGCTGATTGTAGTCGTAGTATCTTTAGGTGTTACTTATTTTCAAGAGTACACTTATGAACAGTAATAATTAGTATAAACATAAAAAAAATAATATTCCAACTTTCTTAATTACGCACCAAGAAGAAAACAGTTCATACTTCATTCTTGATTTTTCAGGAAACAGGTTCAATGAAACTTTAACTTAGCAGTTTCTGCTACAATTTATTCTGGTGTACACATATTCACAACCACTGAGTTCATTATTCTCAAACAAGTTAGGCCCAATTATAATTATTCTTTCGAAAACTTTAGGTTGTGTTCAAACCAAGCCTTGAACGAAAATTTAATATAAACACGAAATGGCAGGTTAAATCGTAGTATCAATAGTCAATCAGCTGATCATTATAATAGTATTTTTAAGTGTTGCCAACTTATTTCCAATTTTACTCGGATTACGTGCATAATAAAACCACGCTGTTTTGTGTTGTTTGGTTGGAATAGTGGTGTGCGCCAAGTATAAACCGTGCGACAAAGTATAAACGGTGCGACAAAGTAAGTAAATGCAGCAATTAGCAGCTTTCTGTGCTATAATCAGTGCAAGGAAGCCAACTTTGTCGTGACTAAAGGAAAAGATAATTATACTTTATACTTTATACTTTATACTTTATACTTTCTTATGAAATGGCGACCATACTATGTAGGTATTTTAAGCCAAGTATGAATGGAGATGAGTGTAGGATATATCAGGGGCTGTGTCTAGGCATTGACTAAGGAAACAAAAGTTTCCCTTGTCTGTGGTCTAGGCTTTCTAAACTTAAGGCAAATATATCAAAGCTGCTTCTCATACTAAAAATTTTGTGTTGTGCAATAATCAAACTACCGAAATAGTCTGCAAATACTTGGTTTTCAAAATCAAGACAATCCTTCTTTATGTTTGTTTATGACTGGCATCATTTTTTAAATAAGAAAAATAACAATAACATTACACTTCAAAACAAAGTAATTAATTTTTAAATATTAAAATAAACATAAAAATACCTCAATGAGGTATTTGAAACGACCTCTAAAAGAAGAGATATCCTGTACTATTACTATTTGGTCAAAATAACACTTTTAAATGGGAAATAAAATATGTTTAGTTTACGAAAAATATAATTTAGTAAATATCCTATCAGAAAAATTTAAATTCGCTTAGTATGCAGGTTTGCTGCGGTGGGGATATTATTATTAAAGATATTCTAGCTAATAATAAAGAACTTATTGTTTTCTTCAATTACACTAATGCTTTGACAAAACAATAATAGTACAACTGACATGTGATCTTCTCTAATAGGCCTGATAAACATATAGAGCTTTAGTTTAGAAGCACATATTTTTATCTTTTTTGCTAGACCCAATACCTAAAAGTCGTTATCTAAAAAGCTCATTAACTGTTAAAGTTTTTAAGAGTTAATGTAGTTTAAGCATTTAAATGGGATACAGATTTTAATTGTAAAATACATACCAAAATTAATTCTGTATACCTAGTTCAACTTACGAGACTGTGTTTCTATTGCTACATTTTAACCTGTTCATCATGCTAATCTCGAGGTAATATTAAGATATTACATAGTGTTATGCTGTTAAAATACCTGTATAAAATTTATATTCAGGTTAAAATAATGGATATTCATGCTATAACTAAACCTTGTCCACACAGTTCTTTTTAAGACAAATTTTAAAATACAAAATTTGGACAGTAAAAGAATATATTCTAGAATAACGAAACTGCAATAGTTTGGTTAGAAATGAACTACCAGACAAAATGCATTTCAATTACAGATGCCGTACACTATTTTATGTTTCGCTGAAAATGTGCATTGTGATTCCCTCATGCTTCAAGTTATTTAGTGAAAATCTGAGGAAAAACTACTTAGACAAAGCATTTTATTAAGTTAAATATTTTGACAATTTGAATTGAATATCCCCCATGTTGATTTGCAATTTTTTATTTTTATGTTTAGTTTCATAGTTTTAATGTCAAATTTGTTATGTAGCCTACCATACCAATACATAAGTTTAAGTATACACTTATTATAAATGTTATAATATGTATTAAATGTTTTATGCAATAAATAATCTTATTTATGTTTCAGGGAAGGAGTGTCTCACGAACGATGAGTGTATTTCAGGGAAGATATGCATAGCTAAGAAATGCACAGATCCTTGTGACAGCGTGTGTGGGCTGAACACAATATGTGTGGTACACGAAGGAGCCCCTGTGTGTTCCTGTAAAACTGGATACAAAGGAGACCCGTTTACCGAATGTAAACCACGTATGTAGGACTATTTACAAGGTTATTCTCTTTGGGTCAGTTTTTTTTAATTCGACAGAAATCAGGTGAAGTAAAAAGTTTTCATTCTGAAAAACCCATTTGAAATGGGACTTTCGTGACGAGTATTGAACGATACTTTTTAACACGATAAAAAAACACTACTTCATCAAACTAAAAAGAAAATTTTCTGATATTTCGTAATCTATTCATTTTTATAATAAAAACAAAATACGACCGTACAATTAATTGATTTTAGTGTAAAATTCAGCTGATTGGAAATAAGCCACGCTTTTAATATGTTTGTTTGTCCTTTTGACCTAACCGGGAACTTCAGTTGTAACTTTGTTGATGTCAGGCAATAAATGTTTCTGTAGTGAAATTAATGTTGGTGTCAGGAAAAGTCAGCTGATCACTATTTGTTTTTGATGTATGGAAATTGATTCCTTTAGAAGATCCCAGCTACTGTATATGGAAAGGGTTGCCTGACATCAACAATGTTACAACTAAAGTTCCTGGTTAGCTCAAAAGGAGCGAGCACGATTTTGTTTTTATTAAAAATACATAACAGAAAATTGATTTATTGAAAAACAATATTTATTAACAGAGTTTACAACTTGCATTCATATCAAATTTAGACTAGACAGCCATATTGTGTTTATATTAGAAACATGAATAAATTACAACATATCAGATACTTTTTTTAGTTAAATGAAGTTTCTTTTTCATTGTGATAAAAAGTATCGTTCAATATTCGTCACGAAAGTCACATTTTGGGGCTCAATAGTGTTTTACATGCGAGTTGTTGTAGTGAAATATACTAATTACTTTACTAAAGCGTCACCATACAGACAAATAAAAAAACTCCTGGATACTTGAGTTTAACTCATTGAATAGTTATTCGCGCAAAGGAATTTGCCCGGGTAAGATAAGTTTTATAGAACATCCACCTTAATTTAAGAGAGAATTTAAAATAAATAATATTACTTAAGAATTGGTAAGCCTAATTTTTTGGGGGTTTTGTGAGAAAAATCACAAACATTATAAAACTGTTGAACCGTTATTTATACAGCATTGGAGATTGTAATTTTGTTCAGAGTTAAATGGACTATCTAATATATTATTAAAGTGATACAATAAAATTTATTGGAAACGTTTAAGACCATTCACAAAAAAATGTTTGGCATATTGCACATAAAACAGAAGCTTAGAATGTGTGGTTTGCCTAAACGTGTTGGTATGAGCGATTCTTTGTGGGCTCAGTTCGTCTTAACCTGCTTCTAAATGAATTAAATGATTTGATTTAATGGATTAAATGACACAGCTAGTCGATGCAATTTACTGGTGTTTGTTTATTTACTTGAAAAATTGTTTGTGATGCTTTGTCTGCATTGACGAAATGTGTGTATTTTTTAGTAACAGGGTAGAGGGTTATGTTTGGGTCAAGAAAGGTAGTAAAAGTTTTGTAAAATATTGCTCATCATTTTCTTTGTAATTTATAAAGTAAGCTATGGTAAAAAGGCTTGACTAAAATTGAAGAATCATAGTAAAACATTTTTTTTCTTGAAGCATCAATACCAAGTAATTGATGGCATTGCCAAACTAAGGTATGTTGTTAGTTTCTTTTGGATCTATTTACATCAATAAATAAAGTAGGGGTTGGAAAGTAGGTCCTAAGAGTAGGTCTACACTTAAAATAAGCTTATTTTAAAAACTAAATCATAGAAATGCTGTATTTTTAAACACAAGACTGTACCACTTATACACTGTAATGTCTGCCTAGGAAATTTAAACCCGTCATCTAAAAATATAAAGAAAATAATTTAACTTTACTAGGTGATAAAATGTTTTTTTGTAAAATGAAAAATAGATATGTATCCATTATTTACAGCAGATCCAAAGAACAGTATTATTTTCTATCGCGTTCTCTTTCCTTTGCGAAACACGTTTATTGCAGCACATAACGAATAAAGAATTTTGAATTTTGAATTTTGAATTTTGAATTTTGAATTTTGAATTTTGAATTTTGAATAACATATTAAATTTCAATAAAATTAGTTCGTGCTGTCTTCATAAAATTTATATTTTTTAAATGGTTAAGGATTGTACGTGAAAGCCACCATTAAAAAACGTTTTGTGAAAAAAAAACTGGAGGTAATATGAATAAGTATCTTATCCTACTCAAATACATAAGTGTAGTCTGTTGTTCTACTCAATAGAAGTCCACACGCACAAACATACAGACATAAAAAAAACAAAGAAACAAACAAACGTAAATTTCCATTGAAACCTTAAACTCGTATTTTTTTCAAAGCAATACTTCTTCCTATAGCAGGTCAAATCGAAGGAAGGTGAGAGGTTTAACCAAATTTCTTTTCTGCCGTAGCTGTTGTCTTTTAATGCCTCTGGCTAAATATTTTGCTACATACAATTTTACATTACAATTTATTATACATACCGTGTTTGGAATTGTTTATATTTATAGAAAATGCAGGATGCACAGACGACTCCATGTGTCCATCAGACAAGATATGCATTGGTCGCAAGTGTTTAGACCCCTGTCTGGACTATTGTGGCCTCAATACAATGTGTAGAGTGGTCAACCATCGACCAGTGTGTGCCTGCCTAAATGGATTCTTCTACAAACTAGACATTAGGCTGCCTTCCTGAAAGTAAGAAATTATTTGAACTGCTAAAATTGGTTTAACAAATACTGTGATGGATCTAAGATGTAAGATATTGGATAATTATACTAGATTTCAAAGGGGAAGTGCTTAGGAATGTTTTGTGAGTAGGCTTGATGAGTGTTAAAATAATAGCTTAATGTAGAAACCTGCATAAAACTTTTGTTTTAAGTAGATTATGTTGTTAGTTGAGAGATATTATCAGCGGTAGTGACGAGATAAGCAGGAGTATGGTGAGCTTTGGCAAGTTCTGCAAAACCTTTACCATTACATATACCTTATGATGTCAAATACAGATGCTGGTATATCGGTCCAAAATGTTGTCCAACATATGTCCAACGGTGTTGGATGGTCTCAATGGTTATGTAGTTGTAATGTTCTTGTGTTGCAGGGATTCCGGAATGTCAGACTAACTTTCATTGTTCAGAGGACCGCTCATGTCGTCTGCAGATGTGTGTAGATCCTTGTGAAGACGGAGTGTGTGGCAATAACACAGAATGTCACGTCAAGAACCATTACCCTGTGTGTTCTTGTAAAGGTGGGTAACTAGGAGATGCCAACAATGAATATGTCACTTACAGTGAGTATAATAGAATTGCCATGACCCGACACGATTCTCCATTAAAGCTATGTAGAGTTTCATGTATTTCATGGGAAAGCACATAAAACAGTTTTACCATGCCACCATCATCTTACGACATGAGTTTTTTTGGACCAGTTTATGGAGTATTGTGGAGCAAGTCACTAGCAATAAATATCGCCTGTGTCCATAGTCAAACTGACTTACCCTCCACACTCTCTGAACAGCTTTATATACCAGCCTAGCCTATGTTGATAGCAATCACACCACCCAACAATCTGGTATTTTTATAAAAATGCTAATAAGGCACTTAAAACTATAAAAAGTACTGCATAAGTATGTTACTGGTACTATGCAAGTACTATTTTACCATTATATAACTATGTAAGAACTATGTATTAGAACATAACCGATGGGGAAGTGGGTACTTTTCTCTATTGTGGACTGCCCGTGGACTCATAATGTTTCCCTGAAATCCACGTATAATGCCAGTGAAAATTATCTGTAATCGTGAGGTGAGTGTGTTTATGGCCTTAGGATTTTCGCAATAGCTTGTGTTCCTCACAAACATGTAAACATAGGAAAACTATGATAAGAACCATATTGTGATCATATAATCTGTCATTGGCTGTGTGCACTTTGAACAAAGAGTTAACGAGTTGTTACTTATTCTTTATAATCAACTGCTTCTTTTAAATTGGATGTAGTAAAATGCTCACAAAGGCAACACCCACAAAATTTTGCCTATGCGTAAATCTCAGCTTAAACTATATATCAGACTGTGGTGAACCTGGGAAAATCAAAATTCACTGTCAGTTTAGCTGTCAAACTTTCAGGTGTAATATTATTAAAGATGTACAGAAATGTTTATTTGCAAAATTTTTATATTATTTTGAGAGCTAAAATAGATGAATTTTCATCACGATTTTGAAGAAGATCAGTTATAGCAGTTTCAATGACCCTTGAGCCAGTTCAGTTTTCGAGGATCCAATCAAAGCAATAGAAGCAGTTAATTTACGGTAGTAGTTTTAGATCAAAATAACTTAAATTTACAATGTTTAAAGTTGTTGCAGGTGCAAGTGAAAATGAGGAAAACATACAAAAGCCAATTCAAAGGGAAAAAACCTTCTTACTTGTTCAAGAACCGGTCAGTATGCTATGTTTACCATTGGATAAAAAATTAAAAAGGCACCATCCTAATTTTCTTTAACTTATAACTGTAAGTACATTTTAAATCGGGTATTTCTTAGTTTAATTTCTTCAAAAACCTTATGTTTGACACACAATTTTTCAAATATGTGGATTTAGCTAAATATTTTTATTTTTTTATATATTAGGCTTCAAGCTACAATTAGAAATATGGAATGTAATATGTTGTGGATTATTGACGAAACTGTAGTTTTAACTTAAGTCTTAGATTTAGAATCATTAAACTTGCTTTACGTAAATATTTACCCCTTTTCTTTGTAGACGGACAAAGTTAAATTTAAATAGCAGTTTACGCAACGATTGCGTAAAGATATTGTTAATGACACGAGTAGAAAATGTAAGGTACGAGCCTTAATAACTTCTACGAGCGTCGTTAACACTATTTACCCGAGTTGCGTACACTACTTTACCTATGACAGTGTTTTAATTACTAAAAATCACTAATCGTAACTTCTAAGAGAGGGTATGTTTTCGATTATAACCTCTCATTGCCACTGACAGTGATGCAACGAAACATTGTACTAAAAACTTATTGCTCCACTCAACAATCAAATTGGCCTGAATAGCTGATTAGTTGAAGTTCGAATAGTACAGTTTTACTTCTCTCTCAATCCTTGAACCACATTGGTCCGTTACCCCTGTTATTTAAGTAAACAATGCCTATGTGAAACATTTCAATTTTAAGAACTGAACTGAAACGGCTACTTAAAAAAACGGTCGTAGGTAAAATAACATTATTTAATTAATATTGTAAGTATTTATAGAAATATAAGAATGATTGTTGAAAGTACAATATTTTAAAGCCATCGACCTGTAATAAGACGATTGTCCATTTATGAGTTACAGAAAAACTGGACGGACGCCCTTGTTGACTGCATGGGTCGTGGAATGAATCTGGCGTCAATCGAAAATCATGATGAGTGGAACGCTTTTCTTAGAACCACCAGGCGTAAGTAGTTTTTTAACACATTACGCTCAATTGTTGCACAAACTAATATACCAGTTAAAATAATCCAAATATTTGATAAAAGTATTTTTATTTTTATTAACTGTTGTTTTTCCAAACCTCGTTTACATAAATTGTACAAAGGTTAAAATACATTTTACATTCTTGTAATTCCTCTGTTCAGAGACTGGACTACACGTTTGGAAAAAAGCCCAGTGTTTGGACCGTTCTTCTACACAATACATTAAAAAATTTCAATCTATCTATATAAATAAATAATTTATAAATAAAAAACTTTTTTAAAACAAAACGGTTCTAAACGCACTAATACCCCCGCCGCAGCAAACCTGCAGACTAAGCGAATTTCCATTAGCCTGATAGGATTTGCACTAAAATGCCTCTTTAAAAATATCATATTTATTCCCTATTTAAATAGAATTAGTTTTTAACGAGTACTTAGGTTTGCTGCAACAGGGAGGGTAAAAAGGTGGTTTTTTATGTTAATAGTTTAGTAAGAAATTAATGTATTTTCCAAATTCGGTCAAAATATGTTCATAAACAAGCAAACTACAACAGTTGATTTATTCTCAAAAAGAATAACATGGGGATTTTAAATTTACAGTTTTTTTTTCAATTTTCTCCGTAACCATTAGGCGCACAATAACGCTTCAATATACTAAATTATTTGTTTTTTATGCTCTACAAAATGGTGTGAAAAGAAATTGTAAAATTTTGTGTTTTTAGGGTCTAAAATGGGAAAAATCTATTATTACCCCAAAAACCCCCCATAAACCCCTGTTCCCGAAGTCCGATCATGCTGGTTCTCGAACTCGTTCGAATAAATGTAGGTTTACACAATTTTACAAAATTTCATCAAAATCGGATCATTTTTGCTCGAGTTATCGTGCTAACGGACATATGTATATATATATATATATATATATATTATACAGGGTGACAAAAAAGTCTGGAAACGGCTTGATATCTTTTTAACTAAATTCGTTAGAAAATTCAAACCTTTCACATCAACTTATATGTATGAAAACTACTTTTTGCAAGCATTACCATTTTTGTACCTTCACCAGGGGACGGCCCATGACATAATGACGGGGTAGGTACATAATCTTTAATGTAAGCGTAGGTTGATATGCACATCATTTTAAAGGTCTGGTCAAGTGGAGTTCATTGCCGGAAACCGCGTCAAAAAAAGTTCATCCGTTACAAAATGGTGGCATTTCAAAGTTTTTGCGGAATACACCTGCACAGGCCTTAGTAATGGTAAATACTCATAGTCAAAATTAGCCGGGAAATCTGAAACCCGGTTAAATTTGTTTTGAAGATTGAATAAACTTAGTCTATGAGCTAGTTGACTATAAAATACAATTTCAGCTCTCAAGATAATGTTTAATACGAATATTTACCAATACTAAGGCCTGTAAAGGTATATTCCACAAGAACTTTGAACAGCCGCCATTTTGTAACGGATGAACCTTTTGAGACGCGGTTTCCGGCAATGAACTCCACTTGACCAGACCTATAAAATAATGTGTATATCAACCTATGCTTACATTAAAGATGATGTACCATCTCCTCATGGGTCGTCCCCTGGTAGAGGTAAAAACATGAAAATGCTTGGAAAAAGTAGTTTTTATACATGTAAGTTGATGTGAAAGGTTTGACTTTTCTAACGGATTTAGTTAAAAAGATATTAGGCCGTTTCCAGACTTTTTTGTCACCCTGTATATATATTATATATATGAATTTGAACGGATGGTGTTTTTGGCCTCTAGGGACCTTAAAACGAAAAAATAAATCGATACCAGGTCCAGGTCTTACCATGAGTACTACGGTAATAGCTTATTCCCTATAAGGGAAATTCGCTAAAAAGTAGAACATAATTTATAAATATGTGGAGAGTATAAATACTTTTAAGATTTAAAACAAAAAACTTGGGGTGAATGCAATCGATAGCTTACAATTACCTTCACCTATTGAACTAATGTATTATTGAACATAAAACGTGGGGTGTATGCAATAGATAACTTACAATTACCTTCACATATTGAACTAATGTATTATTATCAATTGCATGTACCCCACGTTTTTTGTTTTAAATCTTAAAAGTATTTATACTCTCCACATATTAATAAATTAATTTCTACTTTTTAGTGTGTTTAAAAACGTTTTGTTTTAAAAAGTTTTTTTATTTATAAATTATTTTCTACTTTTGAGTTTTTAATGTTGTGGATGTTAAATCTATTTCAAGCATCAATATCATATTAAGACGGATGCATGTGGGAAATCTAAGGTTTATTTGAGTTTCTTTTCATATCACTATGTATTGGATTGAATTTATGGCCTACCTACTAACTATAAATATATCAATTTATGTAATTTGTTGTTTACTTTATAGAATACTGAATAAATAACAATTGACATTATTAAAAAACACCTTTGTATATGGAATCAGATTGTTTATCTTTATTTTTTAAATTTTTGTTTGTATAAGGAATCTCTTAGGAGCATAACCTGTACCTTTTAACCTCTGCTCTTCGAACTGTCAAATTTAAGTATTTACAGCTGACTTAAATTAATTGATATAGCCTATTTACATTCTTTCAAAATGTAAACATGGAAAATTTGGAAGCCCCTGGGGCGTAGCTAAAGGGTAATATTAAAATTAAATGATATAATATTGCATTGTCATCCATTTGTGAGCTATGTTTCAAATTTCAAGCCTCTAGCTCATCAGGAACTTCGTCTAGA